CAAGAAGCCTTAGGAAACTCATTTCCAACTTGAAATGGAGCTTAAATTGATTGCTTCAGTTGATACAGATACTTTTAGCTACAAGTTCATTTGTATGGACTATGGAATTTTGTACTAAGGTACCTTTAGTCGTTCTTATGGATGGAAAGCTCTAAAGGGAACAATTGAATTTCTTCTAGACACTCATCTTGCACCTTTGACTCATGTAAGCTCTGTGAGCGGAAAGAATCCTCTTATGTAATTTTTTACAAAGACATAGAGATCAATACTCTGAAATTTCAATCTGACAAGTATGAATTATTTTCCTACCTGAGATTTTATTCCATTGTCTTGTTAAAATTTCTGTACCTGGAATCATGCCGCTTACTAATGAAATTGATATGTATTGTTTGCCATGAATTTGTGCTTATGTGTGTGCTCTTCATCATCAATTTTGTAGTTTCTGTAAATGAAGTGGAAGCCTTGTATGTTTTTTTTTTTTTTTTTTTTTTTTTTTTTTTTTTTTTTTTTTTTTTTGAGGGAGAAGCCTTGTATGCTTGCTATTTACGAGCAGTTTTATAGTTGATGATGGCCTCATTTATGAATCTTCTGAGAAATAATGAGTCTATTTTAAAACTTAATAAACTACGTGATCATTCTTAGGCTTCCATGTGGCTGTCTGCTAATGAGTGACTATCATGCCCCTCCTGCATCTGGTTTGAATAATTTCAAAAGGTGCTTCTAGGTAACAATGGAGAGCCAGATCTCTTTATAGACAGAGACTGTAAATGAAAAAAATAATAATAATAATAAAATAATAAATTATGCTGGTAAATTCATTTTGATGCTTATTTCCTATTTCTGAAACTCCTGGTGATACACTTTTGTGTGAAACTTAATGTACTGATGGCTGTTGCAGGAAGCTATATGTATGTAGGTTACAATGCCCGAATTGGAAGCATGTTGCTTCACTATTGTTCAAGTTACAAAGAGGACACTTCTACCTCTATCTCTGTCTTTTGGTCTTTCCAAGCTCTAAATTTCTATAAACATCTTTGGTCTCTACAGCTTTTAGCAGTCATACTGTCACCAATTTCAGATCTATATACAATAGTCGTATACATACTGGCTTCTAACTAATGTAATACATAACTGCTTTTTTTACTAATGTAGGTGTTTGTTTTGTTTTTCAAGGCCAAGTTTTGAACTTTCCCTGTTTACTGCCTTTTGAAAGCATTTCCTTGCTTCCATTTTACCACTGTCTGTTTCGTCTCTTCTTCCATTAGCATATAATTGATACACCTGAGTATTTTCCATCCCAACTCTTCCGAAGCAGAAACGATTTTATTTAGTAAGCTGAATCCCTTTTCTGTTTCCAATTCGAGCTTAAAACACATATATGCTTCTTTTAGCTGATAATCCCCCCTTGTTGATATCCAAAGAATGAATATTTGCTCATGAGCTCACTTTGTGAACACTGTTGCAAAGAGCAGTATCATTTCAATTGCATTCAAATTGTACGATCATTTGCTGCGATAATCTTGGCCTCGAGGTTATTAGCTTTCTCTTTGCCTACACCCTTTGTGACTATAAAAAGTCTTCCTTCCTATATACATGGACTGCTTTGCAGCCTTTGTGTTAGAATCCAACCCCCTTAGTTTGCATTAGAAGCTTTCTAGGTCTTTTGCTTAAGTTTCCTAGACCGCAGAAGAGATTATCATGTTTCTGGGAGAATATTGTAATACCAAAAAGAAGCACTTTAGGGGGCAAGTGATTAATGATATCCAAGCTCCCTACCCTTGTTGCTTATTGCTTTTATGACTTTTGTGTTTTTGTAGGCCTTTAAAGATATTGTGCCATCACATGATTCAAAGCACCCCAAATTGATAAACCACAAGAGACCCTTAAAACAAATGTAATTTGCAATCGGACCGTTTGTGCCCGCCTTGACTCTCTCGGTTGGCACAATCCCCGATCCGACACTTTTCTCCACTCGTGTAGCCAACAGGCAAGAGTGCCCATCTAACTCGTTTCCTGCTTGTGTTGCTTCATGCTCGCAAGCCTCTTTTCGCACTTGGCTACCCCTCTTCGTTTCCAATAGATGAGAGTGCATCATTGTGCCGCGCGGATCTGGTGTCATAACACTCAGACCGTGACACTCTACTAGTTAACACTGTTGAAAGTTTTGACTTTCTCACTGAAGTGGCATATATTTGTACACATAAACCATTGCTGAAATTGTTGGATTACTAATTCTTGTTGGTCCTTTATATATCTAATATTATTATGAACTAAAAGTTAAAGAAGATGATCTAGGCTGTTCAGGAAGAATCAGACTTGACAGTATTAGAGGATTTTGTTGAAACCAGAGCATTTCTTCTTTTTGGTACTTACAATAGATTTATCTTCAGAGACATGGTTCATACATGATTCAGATCAGACTTGTGAAAAGGATGCTGCTTATATTCAGATAAGAAGCCTTTAGCAAAATGCTCACAGCCTTCTGTTATTCAGCACTATAGGTAATTTGCAGCAGTTTTAGTGCATTACTATTAATTTAGAGCATACATTGCTTAGTGATACCTTGTATGCAATCAAGTTTCCAGTTGTGTGTTTCATACAAATTAATCTATCATCTTTACTTACAATTTTATGACATACTGCAAGAGATATGAAGCCGGATCATTTTGTAGACAGGGTATGTCAGTGTGTGTCATGGAGCTCCTATAACTTCTCCTTTTCAGAGGAATGTGTTACAAATTGTCATTAAATTATGCTGACAGAACGCAATTTCGGTGAATGTCTCATTGGAACTTCCTGCTTTGCGGATCATTGAGATAATGTTATTGTAAACATTTTCTTAACTTGTGGAATCTGATCGCAGCAGATTTGCAAACTATTAACCTAGTTTGGTAGCTAGTTTTCGGTTTCATTATTTAATTAGTTATTTTTCCAGGCTCCTTAAACTTAGTTGCATTTTTGTGATGCTAATTTACAGAAGAATATTTTTGTATGCTGTTACCTTCAACTGTACAATTTACATAACAAAAGCTATATTGAACGTGAAGAGGTAATATTCATGTCTTTCTTTTATACTGACATTTATTTTCACCTTGATGAAACTTAGATTTCTTTAACATACTCTCTAACGAGACTTATAAGTTTGCCGTTGCATTATAACAAGTTGCACTGGTTTAATACTCATCAAGATACTCCATAATAGCTTTACTCATTCACAAAATTAGCATATATACCGTCACTAAACTTGTTGAATTATTCTTCTGGTCTCCTAGTTTTTGTAATTTTAATCTTCACAGGTGATCAAGCTAAGGAATTTCGAAATGGTCGTGGCTAAGGAAAAGGTATTCTCATATTCATATGGAGCTTCATGGACCATTTAGTTTGCTCCAACTGATTCTATATCAGCTTTTATATTTTCAATGGCCAACAGGAAATGAGATTTATATGGTGCTGTTATATATGTAGGCCTTCATCGAAGCAGATTCATATCTAAATGGAAGGATTGACCTAGATGAATGGAATGGCTTCGTCTTTAGGAATCCATCACTGCTGAAAAGCATGACGCTTTCTTGTATAATGTACGTCCTTAATCACACATTTATTATAATGATAGACAATTTTCTTTTTAAAAACATCAGTGATGAATTTTAAGCATCAGACTGATCAAAACTAAGAAGCTTGACTTTCATTTCTATATCCTTTGTAGGGATGTCATGGTACAAGTCTTACGACCACAGCATTTTCCAAGTCTTCTTGTTAAAACTAAGAAGCCGAGTAAGATTGAGGCTCTGAAGAAATGTTATCTGTCTATGCCTGAGAAAGATGATTCCAGGGAAAGCACAATTTGGTATCATACATTTCTTAGTCTAACTGTAATGAAAAACCGTGCTGAAGCTTGGAAGATCACCGGCTACTGTGTAATAGCATCAGGTTTAAATCAAATCCTTAGGCAGCTTTTGTTGAGAATATTGCCGTGCACGGAAGCATCGTTCCATCATCCTAGCTATTGTATGGATATCGACAACAATTCAGATTTTTATATGGCTGTTTGTCAATTGTCATCGATTGATTAGTTGGTAATAATGTTATATATCTGTACATATTCTTTGTCCTGAACTTGTGATCATAGATTTGGCAAACAGGAGAATATATACCAACAGAATCAACATCACTTGTTGAAATGATCGTTGTGAAGATGTACAGCACATCCCTACATTTGTTAAGGGTTTTGAATGAAAGTGAAAAGATCAAGCATGAGCTGCTGAAAGTTGCTACAATATTATGGATTCGACGAAGAAAAGGGATAAAAATTGCTATAAAGGGCAAGAATCAGATTCCCAACAAAATCCATATGAACACGCAGCAAAGTCACCTGGCCACAAAATTTTAGGAACATTTTGACGTTCAGTCAGGTTGTAACCTAACCATGTCAACCTCATACATAATGACAAATTAAATAATTACGAAAGAATAATTACCAAAAGCATACTCCTTTCGTTTTTTAATGCAACACTTTGATCCGCGCAGAGTTTTATGCAATTGAGTTGAATTTGTAAAAATTTTGTGTGAGGTTTATTGGAGGAAATGAGGATTTAAAAACAAATAAAAAAAATGATAGTGAATATAGTTTATGTAAAACTAAGGGATGTGAAAGACTTAAAGTGCTACGGAGTAGTATTAAAAAAATGTGTGTTTACTTTTTCTTTTTAACCCAAAAAAAATGTTTAAAATTAAGGATTGAAATGATTTTACATAAACTATATAACAAATGGGTCATATATATCATATCCCTATCCCATTATGAATAGAGGCGTATAGGAATTCTAATTATATTTCATTACTAGTTAGGACATGTAACAACTTTTTCTGGACAACATTCTAAAAATCTAAGATAGCATATCTGCATATGTGATAAATTATTCCAGACGAAGGTAACAATTCTCTGATGATCTCCCTTATGCAAATACAAAAGAGTAATAGAAAGATTTACAGTCCCTGTACCTCTTTATTAGCAATATTTACTGTAATAATTAGTAGCCCATAAAGCCAAGTTTCTGACTTTCCATATATTCTGTATATATATATAATTGCTGCAGAGACAACCTCCTTCTAAACAACTGTACCTTTGTATCTGCTTCTTTTCCTTTGAATACTTGATGAGAAACCTCTGAGCCTTGTGTTACTACTTCCAACCATCTCATAATCTTCTCAAATAGACTGCACTACAAATAGTCTAATAGTTCACGCTATCAATTAGGCATTTGTCCTCAGAACGGACAGAGTTTTTCTCAATTTCGCAATCTTCCTAGAGCATTCAGCTAACAAATAAACCAATGGGTGGCTGTTGCATGAAAGAGAGGAGCAGAAGGAAAGATTCAGCTGTGTTGGCAGCTCAAACTTACTGTAAGCTACAATCATTTCTTACTCTTTTCGATCATATATATATATACATACCCTTGGTGATCTAAGTTTGATGGGTCAAATTACAGTTAGTGTGACTGAGGTGGAGAACTTATACGAGTTATTCAGAAGGTTGAGCAGTTCAATCGTTGATGACGGCTTCATTAGCAAAGTAAGATTTACATCATACTTCAAAATGCTTTGATCTTCTTTCAAAGAACGAGTAGAAAGTGTATAAAACATCTTCCATATTTTTCTTCAGAGTTGATGTAAGCATTTATACGTGCAGGAAGCATTCCAAGTTGGGTTATTCAGAGACAGAAGAGAACAAAGTATTTTCACTGACAGGGTAACACTTACCCGCTTTTGATAAGAGAAGTGCATTCAGCATTGCCAAGAGCCAATTACTTGCATTTTAATTTTTTTTTGCTCACTTTTAGCAGATGTTCCATCAGTTTGATTCAAAGCATGATGGGTTGATAGATTTTGAAGAGTTTGTCCAAGGTTTAAGCATTTTCCATCCAAATGCACCGCAGACTGAAAAAGCTACCTGTAGGGTTGTCAGTTCTATCTCCATGATCAATTAGACTATTTGTTCCCTACTACATGCATTTGGTTGACAGGTTTTAATGCTTTGTTTCCAATGCGGCAATATATCAGTCACATTTCAGCTATACGACGTATGGGAAACAGGTTACATAGAGCCTGAGGAGGTTTGTTGCTGTGATTTTTCTTACAGTTTACCATCACATATCTGCAAGCATCATTAATTTTGAGAACGGCACAAAACAATCACAAGAATTTAGTTTTTATATGGCATAATGTGACAGGTAAGAGTGATGATTTTGGCTTTTCTAGACGAGTCTGCTTTGGTCCTTTCAGACGACATCATCCAAGGAATAATTGACAAGGTCATCATTATGCTTGCCAAATAGTTAGAAGCAAATGATGATATCACAAATCTAATCTGATTTTCATCCTTTGTTTCCATAGACATTTGAAGAAGCAGATTCTAAAGGTGATGGGAAGATTGATCTGGAAGAATGGGAGGGTTTTGTGGCTAGAACTCCTTCCATACTGAAGAATATGACAATTCCATATTTGAAGTATAGTTTTATAGCTTGTTCAATTTTCACCATAAAAGATTTAAAGTGGGACATTGCTACCAGAAATCATTATATTTGTCTTCATCTTTACAGGGACATTACAACAGCATTTCCAAGTTTTGTGCAGAGGAATGATACAGAAGAAAAAATTTACTAAGAATATACAAAGAACAGTATTTTCATATATCTATGTAATTCTCAAGAAACTATACAAAATTTTCTCATGGGAGGATGTTGGTGCAGAACTCCAGAAGCTATGCAGTATAATATACTTTTACCAATTTTTGTCACTTGGAAAAACAAACACATGTATCTTGAGGTTGCAGAGAGAAGCAAATTCAGAGCAAGATATATCCACCGTGCTTATCTATCCAGAAGAAAGCATGTCCTTCATGTTCATAGGGTAGCACATATTTGAATGCAATCCAGACCAGATATTATCAGCCAATATCGAATTTACTGCATCCGTTGGATGAAACTGATCCCACCAAATGTGGGTAGAAGCATTATTGCAAGCCATTTCAGGTGACAAACACATAATCCAGCCCCTGTATCTTCCTAACCCACAGCATGCATCAGTTGTAACTTGGAGCCCTACATAAACCAATTATTTATGGTTCAGTATTTTCAGAAGCATATACGATGGTATTGATCAATCAGAAGGATGTAATGTTTTACATTACCATAATGTTCATGGTTCTGTATGATATCCATAGAACCTTCATACATATCACAGAAAATGATTTTGGAATCAGAAAGCTCCTTGTTTAGCTCCTGAATCATGTATCTCATCACAAAGTTGAACTCCATTATCATATTGTTGATTTCTTGGATGCACTCCCCGTTCTTGCTTCTATATCGCCATAGGTAGTGAGGAGCGCATCCCATAGGTGCAATTCCCATTACCACCACTTTTCTCACATGTGCAGTGTGTAGATTCTTTTAAACCATATGTTAGGGGAAAAAAATCAGTAAATATGTCATTCTTTACAGAGTTCCCAAACCAAACTATTATGATAACATATTTTTATACATATGAAGCTACTAGTATGATAATAATCAGAATCACCTTGATTTCCTGCTTCAATGAGGTTGAAAGAAAATGGTTGAAACTCCAGGGACTGTACACTGATTGGATACCCGATACATTTTGGAGATAGAAATGTATGTAGTCATTGGTTCCAATAGAAATATAGAAGATTGAATCAGAGATAAGACGCACTGCAGCATCTTCACCCATGCTCATCATGAACAGCTGAAATGTATCAGTGGCCTGCTGTATTTGCTGAGCTAAGGAGACGCGCTGTCCCTGCAAGAATTATTTCAGCAAAAGATCAGTAGATGTCAGATATCAGGATTTGGTCACTTATAGCCCTATGTTTCATGACCCTTGAAAATCAATTAAATTACACAAGGTTCATGTTTACTACCTGTTGATACATTATGGAGTAGTAAACAAATATACTAGCAAAATCATAGGAGCATTATATGTATCATACCAAATAACACATACCCTGTGGATTAGACTCAGGTGATATTACATATGCTACTCTATTCTATTTGCCATATGATTAACTGCCTGACTGCCATAAATCATTGCAATTTGCAACCACTTTTGCTTTTCTAAGGAACTTAAAAATGCATCCAAACATACCACTAACACACAGTAGCATACCCTAAGGTTCATTATGACCAACTTTGCTATGACATTACTCAGTGCAAAATACATTTCCAATGGTGAAAATTTATGTCACTGTACCGAGTAAATGTAGTCACATATCCATTTCCTTGTTAGTTAATCCGCTTAGCTACCGATGTTTGCTAGATTACCTACACTAAATTTCAGCCTAACATGTTTAATTTCACCTTATTTTAGCACAACAGCATTAAATAATTAGTCATATAGCAAAATAGCCAGAAAATTAACTTTCTATAGGTTTTTACCAGATCTGTTCCACTTGAGAAAATAATTCCAGCTCCAGCAGAAGCATAATTCACCCCGTGAATCATATCATTAATGCTCCCTGATTGTCCTAGATAACTTGGCACAAATGGAAGCCCTAATCGCAATGCTAAACAGCACAACAATCCAAATCAATTAATCAGTAAAATGAAAGGATTATTAAATTTCAGCCACTAAAAACCCTACAAAAACCCCCCATCAAATTAATTATAAACTATACAATCCCTCAAAAACCCAGAAAGTAAATATTATTTATTGAAGAAAAATTCATGAAGAACCCCAAGATTCATAAACACCCAGAAGTGAATTTCATCAAGAAATGGAAAACTACAGATACCCAGAAGCAAATTTCAGCTTAAAATCAAAATCAAGAAATAACCCAGAACTTAAAAGTAAAATAAACAAAAAATCATGGGTTAACTTGAAAATTAATACCTAGAAAATCAACAGGAATTCTGCCATTACAGAATCTTCCAGTAGGTTGATGAGTATCAAAGTCTCTGCCATAAGGAAGGCGGTCGGCACGAGCGAAAGTCCCAAGAAAGTTATTGTTTCCGCAATCAACAGAAGAATCTCCGAGCACGAATAACGCCGGAACAAGCGCTGATCCATTGGCCGGCGACGGCGAAGTGGGTGGTAAGGAAAGAGGGAAGTGGATGTTCATGTTGTATAAGTCTTGGAAGTAAGTTTCGTCGATTAGTTGTTGTGGGTATTCAAAGGAGTTTGCTGAGAGTGCGAAAATGGCGAGGGTGGTGAGGGGAGAGAAAATGGAGGTTTTGAGCGCCATTGTTGAAGGAAGAGAGAGAAACAGAGTGAGTTCTTGGCGGGTATGTTTAGACGATGATTGGAGATAGAATTTGTTGGGAAGAAATCAAAAAAGGGTGGGAAAGTGGGATTTTGTAATTGAATTGTTGGGATTTGTTTTGAAGTTGGGCTGTTAAATAGGGTAAGAGCTTGGTTAATTACCCTATAAACAATCATGTTTCTATTTGAAATCTTTTGTGTAAATTAAAGTAAGAGAAGAATGTTGAGATAAAGTACATTTGAACCATTTAAGTATAATAAGATCATTCTTTTTTATTCCGTAGAATGAAGTAATTGAGACTACTTATTAATTTAGAATAAAATACACTAGGACTATCTTTTTTGAATTGGGACCGTTAAAATAAGGGTTATATGGGAAAATAATGAAAATATGTGTGGAATTAAAATAGAAAGTAGAAACATCATTTAAAACACCCGAAATGAACTGTAGGAACATCATTGTAGAATGGAGGGAGTAGTAATCAAGTATTCAAGAGTTATAGTCTTATAGAGAACGCCTTATTTCAAGTTGGGTCGTTTGGTTTGCGTATTTTTTTTTTTCCAAGACTTGTTTCATATTGCTTATGAGTTTTATTCAAGTCAGGTCATGTAATTTTTGTTTATTACATTGTCTACAACCTTATTTTAGAGGTGATTATGGGGCGATTCAGATCAATTCAGACCGGAATGAAGGGGAGAAAATAAGCCAATTGTAACAGATTAGGCCAAGATTTGGGCCGATGTGTGTCGAAAACCCGTAAAATTGGATCAGATCATGCAAAAATAAATACAGAATTAACTAAAATTCATAAAATAGCTTGCCTATGGCCCGTTTAAAAAAACGATTGATTTTTGGACCAAAATCCGCCCAAAACTGGGTTGGGCTAACGGGATGGACTCACCTTGTCACCTCTAGCTTATTTTAATAATATGATCATTAATTCATTATTGAGAATATTTATTATTGGGTAAGGTCTCAACAATGGGTAAAAAGATCTCGAGTAGAGTTCGAATTCTCGATCAAGTGATCAAGTATGAGTTAATTTTGTCAGGTGTTATTTTTGTCAACCAAAGAACCTCACATTCTTCTACTTTTTAGGAGTTTTCACTTTGGAAATATGTATTTTAATTGACCCCATAATTAGGAATGGTTATTGACTTTTTGGAACAAGTTATCTAATAGATATGAGATCATGGTCAATGTAAAAAAGGCTTTTCTTGGACATGACTCTAAAATGTATTGGATAAGGTTGATATAAGCCCAAAATAATAGCCCAATAATATCATAGAAGAAAATAGATAATTTTTTTTTTTTTTTTTTTTTTTACGCAAAGGGTAAAGTATATTATCCACATATCATTTAAACAAACAAAGAAAAAAAAAAAAGGTTTAATATTCACATATCTTTTGTCTCTCTTATTTATTGATTTTCCTTTGTTTATCGGTCAACCCACTTATGACCCACATTGATCCAACTCGCTTTAAACCATGACCTAATCAGTTGATTGTCTACTTTTAAACCGTACCGACCCACCCAATAAGTCAATAACCAAGTGATCCAATTGTTCCAAACAAACATTAATAAAGTATCCATCATTGTTAGACATCAATCACAAGTTCACAACCAACAATATACTACATCTGTTTTTATTTAGTTGACACTATTTGATAGAGTATAAAACATATGTTCGGGCTTTAACCATCAGCTTAAGCTTTTAGTTGAGTTGGTCCATTAACATGGTATCAGAGCCAGGTTCACGATATAGGACCCTAAATGGCTAAAGTTCACTGGGCCAAGAATAGGTCCATGTGAGGGGGAGTGAAAAAGCACTCTAGCCCGAAAAATCACATGAAACAAAGTTAAAAAGGGACCTTACATGTGAGAGGGAGTGTTGAAGAATAGATCTCTCAAGTATCACCACGTGTAAGTATTCCACATTGATTGAAGAAAAGAGAGTTAATCACTTTATCAGGGTAAGGGGCTACTCCTCCTATTGCCATATGTTTTTGGGATGGAACCTCCTTTACTCTTGTGAAGTGGACTCTCTCTTGGTTCGCGGGGTGCGGCCTGACTCGTATTTAAAACTATTTTATTATTATGCTTGCCAACACACTATTTTAACGAGTAATATCTCTAATTCTCTAACATTGTAAAATTATAAAAAGTGGATATTAATAAAATATACATTGAGACGATTGTCACGATTCAAACAAAATCTCACTTGATTATATTTTATCGTAGCTATAAATCACAAAAGCTAGTCAAAATGTAGTTTGTGAATAGTGTAAAAGTCAAATGGTGTCAACTAAAAAAAAGGAGGAAGTACTACGCAATACAAATCAGATGAATTTTTGGCTTAAGGCCTCTTAGTTTAGCTGGCCCAAAAGGAGACATTTTACGCCCTACAAAAAGTCAATTATTCATGAAATATTGAAGATCCTTTTGAATTTGATATGCCTGTTCGAACCAACAAGAGTTGATTCAAGTGGTAAACAATTTGATGTCATATAAAGGAGGTTTTAAGTTCGAGTCTCACCGTATACAAAATCTCTTATTTAAAGGACTTACATATCATAAGCCAGATATGCGATTCGAATCAAATTTGAATGTAACTAGATGGGCATCCTTTAAAAAAAAATATGCCTATCCGAGGATATCACTCATTCACTCATATCAGTGATTTTTATTACGTATCTGTTTGATTATGTTTTGCCCCACAACACTTTTAATATTTTAATTGTATGATTAAAGACGATGTACATCTATTAATTTTCAACATTTGGTCGGTTTGGATTTCATGACCTTATCTGCTTATGTTATTTAATTAGACTTGTTAGAAAATAATTAGTAGTACACGTGACATCTCTCTTTACAAAAATCACTATATGAATTGAGAGCTTGAGTCCATTTGTCCAATTGTCCAATTTTTATTTTTTTTGGTTGTTGTTGTTCCGCCGGTTCACCATTTAGGGTAATTTGGATTTGGGGATCAGTTTTGGGTGATTAGGTTCCAATCCCCTCTCAATTGTTGTTGCGGAGGATCGAACACGGGTCCTCCCTACCAAGTGCTCCCAATTACCACTGCACCAACAACCAATTGGTAGACATTTAAATGTTTTGACAAAAGTTACGATTAATTTTAGTCATTTTTTTTAGAGTTTTAATTTTTTTTTTTACGAGAGTTTTAATAAATTTAGATAAGTACTCCGTATGATTTACATATATTAAATGTACCGACTATTATTTTTGACACTTTAAAAATAAAGGCAAAAGCTAACAAACGCCCTAGGGGCGTTGGATAAGATAACTAAAAGTAGAAATATTAAATTAAAATGAACATTAATTACACCGATCGATGCGTGATTTTGTCATCCTTTCCTAAATTAATACCTACTACTTTAGGTAAATTTTTGAATGCTTAACTAACGCCAACGCCCTGAGGGCGTTTGTTAGCAAGATCCAAAAATAAAATGATACGGAGTATCATTTAAGAATTTCAAAATTTGAATACATATTAAATTTAAATTCTTCAAAGTCGGTTTTAGTTCAGAGTCACGATAAAAATTATGTATGAGTATATATTAAGAATTTGATTGAGTTCAATTTGTGTAAAGTATAACTTTTATATGTTCGAACATGTTTTAAATCTATTTGTCTCCTAGAATGACCAGACACTATACTTTAGCAAAAATAAGTTTTATTCAGTAAAATATCTTTCAAATAACAATTGTAATACGAAGTAGCAAATTAATATGTTTTCTTAAAAAAAAAAAGTAAATTATTAAAAAAAAATTAATCAATAAAATAATTTAAGTATTATTTAAGTAAACTTAATTTAAGTAATTAAGTTCATTAAAGGTGAATAAAACAAATGTGAGAAAGTATCACAAATTCACATTAAGTTCATTGGGTGGGGATTGGAACCTAACCAATCATAACTGAGCCTCGACTCCAGATTAGCCCAAAGGGTGAACCGGGTGAAACATACAAAAAAAAAAAAAAAAAAGCAAGCATGTAATGATGTAAATGAGATTCGTTCCCAACCAAACACATTATGTACAAGACTTTAATAAATTAAACTAAGATAATTGTCATTCAAAATAAATGCATGATGATTATGTTGTACCAAATTAAACACCCATCTTAATATTTATAAAGAGACATATAGTTCATATTTGATACTCTAATGACTAATGTGTACTCGTATATATCTAAAACTGACCTAAAAGGATTATGCATGACAAAAAGCGCAAATATCCATGCTTTGATTGCCAGATATCATCGTCGTTCATTGTATGTGCAATGTATACTCTATTACACTATCCCCGTTCATTGTATGTTGCTATTTTAAGCTTTAAATGGGGGCACCCCGCACCCGCCAGCAACGGCATTACCTTATTATTTAAACCATTATTATTACGGAGTATTATTATTCTTTTGCTTCATAATCAGTAACTCAGAAGATCTTCTTTCCTTTTCAGATAATTCAATATTCTATTGAAAATCATATCATCTCCAAATCCTTCGAGTTTAAGATTGATTATAGTTTTATCAAAACAGCCTTCGTAAAAGTTATTTCCTTTTACATTCTTTCTTCATAACTCAATTTATTCAGTGGGATTAATAATACACTACATGTTAGAATATCTGAGTTGTATATATGGATTATTTAGATTTGTATTGATCATATAATATGTCAAATTTTCATAATGACTCAATACATTGGATAATTATGTCCAAGACAAATACAAAATAGAATACAAAGGCATTGCTTGATAATTAAATTTATTATTTATCACGGAGTAATTTTTGGATTACAGTTGTATTATTAATCCTACTCGTTAAAATGTTCTTTCTCCAAACATTATATATATTTCATACAAAATAATGAAGTATATATTTAGTATATTAATTTATTACGTTATAATGTCAGTTTTCCCTAATTAACAACTATTCGAGACACCATCTGAAAGCGAGAATACTCAGTTTCTTAATTCAAATGCAAGCATCAAAATTTAGATGCTACTAAAAAAGAAAGGGACATATTCTGCGAGCCCGCTCCTTCTGTTTGGTATCACAATTGACGAGCGTTTACAACTTACAACGGGAGTATTAACGGATCTATTCCCATTTACGCCGTTTACTTTTATACAAATAGTTTAACAGAATTTTTAACACCGTTACTCATAGAAACAGTCTAAAAAAAGTTGCAAAAACTTCACTTTCAAATTGATTGCAGGCTTTAATATTTTAAAGAGAATTGTATAATGTGTCATATTCAGTGAAAAGGTAGAGCAAAATCGTGCACCCATACAAGGTTTTCACTTTTGTCTCTTGTTAATTGTTAATTTAACAGCAGTTTTCAAATGTTTTTTGTAGAACTAGTTCTTGGAATTCTGAATATCCTTGTACAATACCAAGTTATGTTCACATTGCCAACTTCCTATAGTAAAAGTGTAGAACAACATGTTCGCCATCTTCAAAATTGTTATGCTAATTGCTTTGCCTTTTAAGATCTATGAAACGGTGATAGTACAATTTAAATTTTTTTGGTATGTCGATGTTTATTTACTAAAGAAATTATGTGAGTTCTATAATTGATTTGCAATCATAATTATTGATAATACTTTTAATTACATAAAATCTTATCTAGAAAAAAGTATGACTAGATGTTTTAAAACGCATGTACTCACTTAAATCAAGTGGTATGTGATCGATAATATCGGGCAATGGGATGAGGTGAAGGGATCAATGTGCAGATGGTTATTACTACGTTTCACAATGTATATATATCCCATTTATCATTATTAATTCATCATCATTCCCTACAATACTTCTATATCCTACAACTGAAACCATCATAAATTTAGTTACCTCATTGGCACATGCCCACGAAGAGGAGTGTGTTAACAACATACGAGATTGTGAGATGGCATGTGATCATCATACATCAGGACTTATTTGCATGCCTTATATGCTCCAACAATGTTTAATGTTAACTTGATTAGGTTTAAGTACGAAAGAAGTGCCAACCAAAAATTTTGAAAGTGTCAAAACAAATTGATAGATCAAGTAAGTATATCCAAGTAAGCAAAAACTTATACTCCACTATAATGACTCACTCAATATAGATTCAACTTGAGATACAATACACTAAAAAAAATCTACTTACACTACATAATGCTAAATTCTGTCTTAATTTCTCAATCCAACCTTTTTACCCGAATTTAGCAGGCAATTATTTAGACATAAAAAATATACTGCGTAAAAAATTTTCCGTAGACTTTAGAGTATCCATGGGATGTAAGCTCCTCGCCTCCACACCCTCCACCTAGGAGTCAATGAGTCCTCCTCAACCAGTCAAACTAAATGCTGTTAATTATCAGTTTTATCACCCTGGCAAAAACAAATTAATACTAGTCGTTACCCAAAATTAAAATCAATTATGTATCAGTCAAAATTTGTACATATAAAGCCAACGGCTACCCCATGCTCTCTCCTCCTCTCACTCTCTCTCCTTGCTCCATTTTCGGCGACAATTTCGTTTATTTTCGAATCAACAAAAATTCTCAATCCAAAAAAATTAAAAATGTATCAAATCCTAATCTGGGTAAAATAACCTGTTTTTCAATTGTTCGTTAATTGACTGACATCTGGATATCTCTGGTTTCCCCCATTAATCCCCTCATTCTCCTTCATTTTTTCCTCGATTCTTCCCGTTTTCCCTGGTAAGAATCCATTTTCTCTCTCTTCTAGAAAATTAATTTCCTCCGCTTTCAAACGCTCAAATTTTTTTAATTAATTCATTTTTGGCTTGATTTTTTGTGATTTGTTGTTAATTGTCAACTGGGTATGTCATAATTTTTCTGGGTTTGATTTTATTATTAATTTTTGATCGAAGAGAAGGGAGAATAGTTAAGATTGTAGGTTGGATTTTTCTGGGTCTAGCAATTGAGAACTTCAATTACCTTCCATCTTAATCAATCAAGGTTATACCTTATTTTGTTTATAAATTTTTTTTTTTTTTATTTTGGTTTTGCCCTTGTGCGTAAAGAGGCCATATAATATATTTCTTCTTAATCTGTAAAATGTAAATTTGATCATAGTTTTGTTTGAAGAATTAGGGTCTTCTTTTTTCATATAGGGTATTTTTTAATTTAATTTTGTTTGTTATATTGGCCAATCTTCAAGGAATTAGGCCAATTCAATTGGTTGTTCTAGGCTAGAATCTTTAAATGTTGTAAATATACTCATTAAAAGAGAAAAGCTGAAAAAAAAAAAAAAAAAAAAAAGAAAAAAGGTTCTGGGTGTGTAATTTAAGGACAATGTCTGCTGGTGCTGGTATTGCTTTGAGTTCCATTCACGAAAATATGGTGCATTTCCCAGGTTATGCTGATAACCAGGTGGATTTGCACTCGAACGAGTCAATTTTAGTATATCTTAGTGTTGCCGGATCTGTGATTCCTATTCGGGTTTTGGAATCCGATTCGATTGCATCTGTTAAACTCAGGATCCAAACTTGTAAAGGGTTTGTAGTTAAGAAACAAAAACTTGTGTATGGAGGTAGGGAGTTGGCCCGGAATGATTGCCTAGTTAAGGAATATGGTGTCACTGGCGGGGATGTGTTGCATTTGGTCCTTAAGCTATCTGATCTCCTAGCCATCATAGTTAGCACTGCTTGTGGGAAGGAGTTCGAGTTGCAAGTCGATAGGTATAGAAATGTTGGGTACCTTAAGCAAAGAATCTTTAAGGAAGGAAAGGGATTTGTTGATGTTAATGATCAAGAACTCTTTTGTCAGGGTGAGAGGCTTAAGGATCAGAGGCTAATTAATGATATTAGTAAGACCAATGATGGTGTTATCCATTTGCTGGTTAAGAGATCAGCCAAAGTTAGGGCTATTCCGGTTGAAAAAGATGTTGAACTTTCGGTAGTGGCATCGGATATTAGGCCTAGGGATAAAAGTGATGAATGCAAGAAACCGTCTGTTGAGCTACGTCCTTTATCTAAGAAGGCGCCTAGTAGAGATTTTTGGTTAGAACCTGTGATTGTTAATCCTAAAATTGAATTAACATCGGCAATACAGGACTTAATTAACTCATCATTTGATGGCTTAGATAAGGGTAAACAACCAATTAGGTCCACCGAAGGCACTGGAGGAGCCTATTTCATGCTAGATCCCTCAGGTCAGAAGATTGTAGCTGTGTTCAAGCCCACTGATGAGGAGCCTATGGCTGTCAATAACCCACAAGGCCTTCCCATCTCAGAAAATGGTGAAGGGCTGAAAAGGGGAACAAAAGTCGGGGAGGGAGCATTGAGAGAAGTTGCTGCTTACCTTCTAGATTATCCAAAGGATGGGCCTCGCTCATCATCTCGTGATGTAGTAGGTTTTTCTGGGGTGCCTCCTACTGCAATGGTCCGGTGTTTGCACAAAGGGTTCAATCACCCAGAAGGGTTTGAATGCACATCGAATGATGTGAAGATTGGATCTTTGCAAATGTTCAAGGAGAATGATGGTAATTGCGAGGATATTGGTCCTCAAGCTTTCCCTGTGGAAGAAGTTCACAAGATCAGCGTCCTCGACCTGAGGTTGGCCAATGCTGACAGGCATGCTGGGAATATTCTTTTCAAGAAAAATGCCAAAGATGGTCGAATTGAGCTTATCCCAATTGATCACGGCTACTGCCTGCCTGACAGTGTAAGATTTTTTCTTCCCCCTATCCCTGTCATTGCTTCTATATCTTGTTTTCGTTATTTAGGAACATCTTACCTGCAACATTCACAACTCTAAATAGTTTTCCATGGGATAAAGCCCTCTTGGACTAAGAAAAGAGAATTTATTTGACTGTATCATGCACAATCTCTCATTAGTCATTGCTTCTATATCTTGTTTTCGTTATTTAGGAACATCTTACCTGCAACATTCACAACTCTATATAGTTCTCCATGGGATAAAGCCCTCTTAGACTAAGAAAAGAGAATTTATTTGACTGTATCATGCACAATCTCTCATTAGTCATAAACGATGCTATTTACAATACATTATGATAACCTGCCCACATTGTTTCTATATTTATCGTGTAAATAGGAAACATACAACTATGAGTACTTAGAAAATTTACATTATAATCTTGTGCTTTTAATGGTAGGTTGAAATTACTACATGGAATCTGGAATACAACTTTATGAACACATTACAAGTTTATGGCTAGCCATGTTATAATTTTTTCCATGTGAATAACATTAGCCAATATGAATCTTACAAGCACCAATAACATGAAATCTGATGTTGGTTATATTCTGCTTGACTTGCCATGTAAATTAATAGCATGCACACTAATACTTCATCTCTATATGAATGTGGTTTGAGCCTTTTAACTCAAGCCTTTTTCTTTTGGCAGTTTGAGGATTGCACATTTGATTGGCTATACTGGCCGCAAGCCCGTCAATCCTTCTCACCGGAGACCATTAAGTACATTAAATCACTTGATGCTGAACAAGACCTTGCTTTGTTGAAGTTTCATGGTTGGGATGTACCTATTGAGTGTGCTCGTACTCTACGCATCTCCACGATGTTGTTGAAGAAAGGAGCAGAGAAAGGCCTGACCCCTTTCGCCATCGGAAACATCATGTGCCGGGAAAATCTGACCAGGGAATCTGTTATTGAAGAAATTGTTAGCGAAGCTCAGCGACAGTCAATTCCTGAAATGAGTGAAGAAGGTTTTCTTGAAACTATTTCCCAAGTCATGGATATCCGGCTAGCTGAGCTGAAGTAACTAATGAGAATGTATTATACAGCCATCTTTACTTAATACTACAGAGTATGTATTATCATTGTATTGTATGTTATGTATAGTTTGAAAGCTGTAGCAGTCCAGTTTTGGAGGGACTGATTACCCGTGCCTTGTGGAAATGTTGATTGTCTTGAGGTTATTTGTTGCTTCTGGTCTTCGAAGCGATAAATTTTAAACTTGTATCAGAGAACAGAAGAATGCCATTATGAAATAAGACAACTATCAGACCAACATATAAGGTCTGATTTCTGTAATGAATCGCAGCGGTTTTTGTATGAAATCATGCTTTTGGTGTTTCCTCAGTTTGCAATAAACAGCAGTTGAATGCATCATATGAAGTATCATACATGCTGAATTTGTCAGACTCTCTGCACATAGATTTTACTGATCTTGTTACTAACTCAGATTTACAATCAGCAATACACATATTTACTTAAAGCTTTAACATTGATGACTATGATGAATAAGGTAATTCTGCAAAATGAATGTTTATGGAAAGCTTTTAGAAGGGTAATCATGATTATTCCACATTTCTACCCGTTTTCGTTTTACTACTACAAATCAAAATTCATGACTACCAAGTATGTTTTGTTGTGCCATTTACTCAAGCAAATCTATGTCCATATCTATACTTGTTCGGTATCACACACATATATTGTTTCTACTAGTGATAATGATTTAAATCTCTATAGTTATGATGGCAATGCATTTACTCCATATAAGAAGTTTTATTATGATTTTTCTTCGGACATTCGTCAACACTTCAATAGAGAAATTTATAAAGAATATACATATGCATCTACACAAATATTATCATGTACATTGACATGAACTGTCCTTGTATATGTATTAGTTGTACGAAGTATTTGTTATGGTGTACTCCCTCCGTCCCTTTATTAGAAGCCTATTTCTAATATTTATTACTCACATAATAAAGACAAATATGCTTCTAATTTAGGGACGGAAGGAGTACTGTTTATGAAACTAGTGTAGTTTTTTTTTTTTTTTTTTTTTGACAAATATGAAACTAGTGTAGTTGGAAATTGGGCTCAGTCAGTTACATTTCTTTTCTTGAGACATAATATCCTTAAACAAAAAATCGATTTCTTATTTTTTCAAAAAAAATTTCCCGAAAAATTATTGTTTGTTTAGAAACATAAAAATCCATTCTTTCAAAAAAAAGAAACATAATAATCCATAGTCCATACAACATTTTTTTGAAACAATACTCCAGACAATTAATATTGCACAAACATTGATTAGTGATTAATTAAGTACGAGTACATAAGTGTACATGATTTAATTAATTAAGATATGATTAAAGACAACAAATTAGCATCGAGTCCCTCTCCATTGGTCCTAGGGATGGGTGGTCGAAGCATAAAACCTAAAAAGTCCACCTTGTCTAGCATTGCATTGTCCATCCAGGCAGGGGTAACATAATTTCCAAGGCTCAATGTTTCTCTTCACAACATTCAACAACCCAATGTTTGCCTTTTTAGCTTCAAATTTCTATTATGCTATGTAATTTTGCATAATTTAATAAAAAAATATATTATATTATTCTTTTTTGAAGGGTATGTATTCAAAGTTAACATGCTATCTTACTTTAGAGTGCTCGTTTGGTTGAACTAAAAAAGTTAAACTCTTTCCTTTTATTTACAATTCCTTTATATTATCACTTACTAGATTTTGATTGATATTGTTTGGTTGAGCACAGAAAGTTGGAATTTCTATCAAAAGTTTTAGAATTAAGTTTACCAAGGAAAAGATATAATCCATAAAAAAAAAGGAAAAGATATAATCCATAAAAAAAAAAGGATAAGATATAATCAAGCAACATCACATGTTTTATATATGAGGGTGATCTTGCTACTTGGTTTTGCTAGCTTGATATATTTGATGATCACTTGAATACATTAAATCTCTTTAGATCATACTCTTCGTTCTTCAATTCAGCCATAATGAACTATCTTGCTTTTAAATGGAATTTTTGTAACATGTTAATAGAGGTTAAAATACATCTTAACAAAGCCAATATATATTACTTACACATTAGCCTTTAGAATCAAGGGGATGAAATTGCGACAAAAAACTATATTTCTATCAATAATTATCTTTATACTCTGTACATTTTATTCTTCAAAATTAATGGGGACACAACTATACCTCTATATACCTACTTAGATTCATCTTTATTGATAAGTCTTTCGAATCAAGCCAAATCTAGTTGAATTCATGACAATCTCAATCAAATAGACTCCAAATCCACCTCTATTCACAACCAAACCACTGCAACCTATACAATCCAATCATGCAATCACATCACATGAATTATAGATATGAACTTATTGAACATTTGAACTACATATAGTCCTCCACTCCTCGAACGTTTTTCCAATTTGAGCTCTAAACGTAAACTAATGACAAAAATGGTTGCGTGGCAAAACTATTTACCAAACTAAGCTTCCAGGGTAAATCGCTGTCTCGGACAGCGTTTTACCCCTGGTTTTTTTTTTTAAAAAAATTCAACTACAACTATTTTATATGTTCAACATAAAGCGCTGTCTCAGACAGCGCTTTATGCTTGAACATAAAACGCTGTCTCAGACAGCGCTTTATGCTTGAACATAAAGCGCTGTCTCAGACAGCGCTTTTCTGCTGGAAACAGCAACCAGCATCCAGGCAGAAAACAAGCTTCAGCAAACAGCTTGCATGCTGCAGTCCTCCAACAGCCACCACAACAGCCAGCTCCACAGCCCTACCCCACCACCGTCGACCACCAACTCCGCCACTCCCCACCACGTACCACCACCATATTCTGGGAGTTCCGTCAACTTTAAGCACTGCAGAAAACTCGAAACAGCCCAACAACAGTCCAACCACCAAATTAACTTCAAAGCACACACGGAGTCATTCAAAAAAGATTTATTATATTAATTTCATAAGTGTTATGTACATCATTACACAAAATAACAGGGAATACAACAGATAATACTAGCCTGACTCATTTATTCGGGGTAAAGGTCCTGCCTCCTGAGTGTCGGCCCTCCGTCTGACACGTCGCCGCCTGTAATGAGTGACTGTGGTGAATGGGTCTCGGGGCGGTGGGGGAGTCAGCTGACTGGACGAGGGGTCCTCCTGGGTACCAGAGGGCGCAGTACTGTGGATGTTGTAATCCTCTGCGTGTCTGGGTGACGTAGGATCACATCCACCGCTGCTCTGGCCGAGATCAAACTGTGAGTTGCCATCATGACCGTCCCGCCGGTGGGCGAGATGAGCGTGACCATATCTCCGTAAGGTAGCGACGCCCATATCTCGCACCTGCTCGACCTGGGCTCTAGTGGGTCCGCACTCAAGGGAGACTGATAGCGCATCAACCATCGCCACCATATCCGCCGCCTGCAGTAATCATCGATCAGTCAGATCTATGGCATACAAATATGGAAATTGTTGAAAAGGAGTAGAAAAATAATAACTCACATATCCGCTAATGATGTCATATGCTGGATGGTAATGTGTGGATGGTGGTGCGTAGCTGGGGTTGATGAGCGTCGTGTGATACGCCTGTACCACACCATGTACGGATCGTCGGGATCCATAGCCCCCTGCATTAGATCACCTCCAACGATGAACTCCAACCGTTGCTCCCATAGCTGAAGGAAACGCCAATGCTCCAGCGCCCAGCTGGTCTCCCCCTTTCCCCGACGATCAATGCCGTGAAGCTGTACACTAGTGTCACACCCCTGTGGGATAGTCTGGCGTAGTCCAAACTGCCTCATGACTCGGTCGGGCAGGTGACTCTCCACAACCTCGAAACAGATCAGGGGGACCCTAGCACGCCACTCCGCCTGATGGTCTAGCAGATGTGGAGGCATGGCATCTACCAAGTCAGGTACATACGGGTCCCATGTCACCTGTAAATACACATCAACAGTAATATTATGAATATGTTAGTTCGCAACAAGTACAATGTTAAAACAAAAAAGCTAAAACTGTATTTTAAATTGTTACCTGGTCCTCGGTGAGTCGGTCTAGGGCGTCTCGGTAATACGGAAGACCCCTCGCCGCATGAGCATGTGTCAGCCTGGGTACCACCCACCTAATATCGAACAATGTTTCAGTTAACAACCCCGCGCATTAAATAAAGCCTAACTCAATGAAAGTTGTATCGAACCTGCAACCATATGCCTCATCCGGTGTAGGGAGCGGGGGAGCATCGTACGCCTGGTACTGGTCGTCCTGGTCCTGCTCCCCCCGACGGTGTATCGCAGGTCTGCCTGGTCTGCCTACATGGATATGCTCCCAAGCCCAGAACTGGCACACAGAGACACAAAACTAGCTTCAGTATGAAATATGTAAGTGCGCGGTGAAATAGTTTTTTTGGTACAGAAATAAGTGAGGTACCTGGAGGACAATCAGGGGACCTCCAATCTCGTTAGCACCTACGTGGGATGCTCTGCACAGCTGGCGATACAACGTCGCCAGACAGGCGCTACCCCAACTGTAGCCTCGGATATGATCCCAGTCGTGGTCCAACAGCTGCACGTAAATGAGCTGGAGATGGCTCCCGCTCTTATTCCCGAACAACACGCCCGAGATGAGGAAGAAAAAGTACGCCCGGGCGTATCTCTGAACCTGGGCGTCATCAGCCCCTGGTGGTAGCTCACGGAAAGTCTCACGGACCCAGCCGGTCCTCAACCCGGATCCCCTAATATCGGCGGGACCTGGCTGGACACCAAGTACCCGACCAACCAAACCGACGGGATCGACTAACGCGTGTCCTGTCACCGCAGACCCATGTACTGGAAGGCGCGTAAGAATCGCCACGTCCCGTAAAGTAACGGTCGTCTCACCAACAGGTAGGTGGAAGGAGTGCGTCTCCTGTCTCCACCTCTCCGCGAGCGCAGTGACAAGCGCTCGATCGATCTCCCTATACGCCATACGGTGAAAACCACCTAAACCGACAAACTCGACGTACGCCAAAACGCGAGGATCGATTCCCCACCCCACCATGAACCTGGTGGTGTAATGCCTGCAAACGAGCTGCTTTGCCGGATCAACCTGTTAGAAAGAAATTAAGATCATATACCATATAAACTCAACAAGCTGTAGTCCATGAACAAACAAATGCAATATTACCGTCTGATCCCATACGGCAACGCTGCGGTGTGTGCCCTGTAGTGTAAGCACAGAAGGGTCAACGGGTCCAGGCGTACGATCTTCACCGTCCATCGTATCTGTTCACATGCAATTTAACAAATCCCAACAGAGTTAACGCATTAGCAATTAACCAAAATGTTAACGATCAAATGTTCCAAATGTTATTAAATCAACACTGAAATAAGACTCTTCTCACCTATAACAACTTCACTTTCAACAACTTCACCAATTTCAACAATTTCATGAACAATTTGAATTACTTCACCAACTTCACTTTCAACAACTTCACCAATTTCAACAATTTCATGAACAATTTCAACCTAAACTATTTCAATAATTTCAACAATTTCATCTCTTCTCACCAATTTCAACCATTAACAACTTCAACATTTTCACCATCATCAACTTCACCAATGTCATGAACAATTTCAATAACAATGTACCACATCACCATCAATAATTATCAACAATGTACCACATTTTCATTAATAATTAGCAACAATTACATGCAATTGACATGAATTAACAACAAGTAAGAGCAATTACATACAATTCACAATAATTAACCACAATAACTATGCAATTACACTAAATTCAGTTTAGGGCTAACCACGAAATTGAGTGAGTGAGTGTGAGAGGGAGGAGGGCAGCAGCAAGGTGGCGGCAGCAGCGGTGGCGCAAGGGTGGGCGCCGGCGGCAATGCGGGTGTTTGAGTACGGTCGTGGTTTAGTGTGAGAGGGAGAAGGGAAAGCGTTGAGGTTGAGGTTGAGTTCTTGCGCATTCTGCTGAAGTGAACATGCTGATATATGGCCATGAAACGCTGTCCCGGACAGCGTTTCATTTAAAAAAAAAACAGGGCATAAAACGCTGTCTCGGACAGCGTTTTACCCATTGAATTTTTTTAAAAAAAAACCCAAGGATAAAACGCTGTCCGAGACAGCGTTTTATGCCCTACTGAATTTAAAAAAATACAGAAGGTAAAACGCTGTCTGGGACAGCGTTTACCAGTTGAATTTTTTAAAAAAAAAAAACCAGGGGTAAAACGCTGTCCGAGACAGCGATTTACCCTGGAAGCTTAGTTTGGTAAATAGTTTTGCCACGCAACCATTTTTGTCAATAGTTTACGTTTAGAGCTCAAATTGGAAAAACGTTCCCACTCCTCCCTACATAACACTTTTTTTTTTTTTTGTCAATAACACTTTTTTTTTTTTTTTGAAAACACACCCCCCCCCCCCCCCACACACACACTCCCCTCTCTTTTGACTTCCTCATCCACTTTCTTTTCCCTCCACAATCACCCCCCTCTCTCAAACCTAACCACACTCTCAATTCTCAAACAACCAAATTCCAAACACACAAACTAAACCCAACATGAACCACCCCACCAAACCACCACACCATCCACCACCACCACACCGCCGCCCACCAAAACCCCCCAAACCCAACCGCACCACCCTAGCCTCCTGCATTGTAGCCACCATCTTCCTCCTCTTCCTCGTCATCATCGTCTTCATAATCTACTTCTCCCTCTTCAAACCCAAAGACCCCACCATCTCCGTCACCGCAATCCAACTCCCTTCCTTCACTCTCTCCTCCAACGCTTCCGCTGTCAGCTTCACCTTCTCCCTCTACTCCGCCGTCAAAAACACCAACCGCGCCGTCTTCTCCCACTTTGACAACTCCCTTCAGCTCCTCTACGCCGGTAATCAAATCGGGTTCATGTTCATTCCCGCCGGAAAAATCTCCGCTGGTAATACGGAATACATTGCTGCAACTTTTTCCGTTCAGTCTTTTCCGATCTCGAGAGCGGCACCGGAGACGGCGCCGGAAGGGAATATTCCGGCGATGGTGGGGAATATTCCGGTGACAGATGGGATTGAGAGAGTGAAGCCGACAATGGAGCTTGAAATGAAGTTGGAAATGGTGGGAAGAGTGAGAGTTTTGTGGGTTATTAGTCATCATGTTGAAATTGGTTGTGATTGTCGAATTTCTGTTGCCATTTCTGATGGATCTGTTCTTGGTTTCCATTGTTAGAAAGGAAATTGTTGCTAACTTTACTGGGTTTTTTTTTATTTTCTTTTTTTAGAAGGAATGTTTTTTGGGATTTGTGTTTTTGTTTTGGAGGAATTTTTAATGGCGGATTAGTTTATTAGTTTGCTGTAATTGTATAAAGTTTAACTTACTCCATTGTAGAATATTGGTTTTCAGTTTTAATTTCAATACAGCGGGCAATGTTTGTTCTTCTGTTCTTAGCTTAGCATTGTTAAGATCCAAGTATCTGACATATAAACGTCGGTTAAAATCTCGACAAATCTTTATTTGCTATCAGTAGCCCATGATAGAAATTTATGTCTCGTGTTGGCTTTTCATACTAGTATGAATCTAACATGATACGAGTACACCTTCGAAGTTTTTTCTATGCATACCAAGATTTCATTTTGGATGACATGGAGCATTATTACCTCAGCTCACACTAATGGAGCTCGTAGTTTAAGGAAATTTACTTTTCATTCATCTTTTAGTAAAGTTTACTCCAACAGTTCTACTGAAATTAAGCATCTAGAAGAACATGTGATAGAGTATAAAACATATTCCTGGACATCAAGTTAAGCTTTTGGTTGAAATGGTCCTTTAAATTATCAATCAAATTTTATTTCTTTATTTTTGTTCATCTTTTCAAATGACAAGACATTTATTTATCTAAAGACGATCGATTTTCTTATAAAATGCTCGAAAATAACTATATTCCTTAAGCATGCTACATTTTACAAAAATTTCATGCATATTATCCACGTCAGCAAAAAAGGGTTTTTTTTATTTATAAAAGTGTGTACCGTTAATTTAATTAGTAGTTAATAATACAACAATACCAAAATTCAGGTTTGCATAAATATTTACTCTTAATGAAACCGCTAATTAAATTAGTGGTCTCATTAAAAGCAAATTAAAATCGCTAATGATTTTAATATAAATTGGTAAAAAAATAAATTATGTTGAGGTGGACGATATATCTGAATTATTATAAAATGTGGCATAGCCGTACAACTCCAACATACTCCATCAAACTTATCCCATAAAATCGTTTCTATCAGTTTTTAAAATCTAATGATTAGAAACTTTAACTTTTACTTAAAGAACTAATATAGACCTGACTAAAACAACCCCACACATACACTTAAGCCTCCTCCCATTTGACTCTCAAATCCATTATTTAGTTCCTTCCAATAACCATCCAAATTATATTACAAGCCATTAACAATGGTCAATGATCCTCACCTTCATCCTCAACCACCACATGAACATGAATTTAGTTACTCTAAATCCATGATCCTTATAATAATAACCATCCTCTTTTCCATCTTAATCCCCTTCTACATCAACTACAAACCAAGACAATTCTCCCTCTCCATCTACAACGTCCAAATACCAACCTTCATCGTCTCATCCAGTGGCTCCGCCGTTAGCTTCAGATTATCCTTTTCCAGCTCGGTCGTAAACCCTACACGCTCCGACTTCTCTTATGCTAGTAGCTCAGCCAAGCTCTTCTACGCCGGTGAACAAGTTAGCTCCATGTTCATCCCCGGTAGACGTGTCGCCCCCGGTATGAAGATCGCCATGAAGTTTTGGTCAAATTTGAAAATCAAACCAGACCATATTAGAAAATTTCAAATCAAATCATATGTACGTACTGAACATAGATGGCAAAAATATGTACGTACTGAACATAGATGGCAAAAATATGTACGTACTGAACATAGATGGCAAAAATTAACACGAGCCAGACACAAAAAAATCTAGTTAGTGTCAAGGGTTTAAGACGAACTTAATCAAATGAGTAAACCTAACATGACACATTTAATTAAACAGATTGGGTTAATGTTGAGAATCCCAACATGAAACTAGCACGAATGAACCTGCTTAAGAAAAATGACCAATATTTTACAGAATTTATGATAAATATTTTTAAACGAAGGTTACATTTTGAGTCAATACAACTTGACAGTTTATTAATGAGTTGGGTTAGTGTTGATATCCTCAAACTCATTTACTAATAACTTTGAATACAGACACGAGAATGACACGATACGACACGTTTGTGAGCTCTATAACCATACGAAACTTAGGGGATACGAGATTTCCCAATTACCCCCTTACGAAAAATCTAAAAAGGGGCTATGACAAGGGCAATTCCGTAAAACTTCCCTACAAAAAAAAAGCAACAAAATTGCTAAAAATGGCTAACAAAACCTCAGATTCTTTCACCATCACCATATGTCAAATTACATGCATTTAAGAGAAAAATTGTACTGCAATTTGGTTTCAAGTTTCATTTTTTGAAATTCAAATTCATATAGGAATTATACAAGTACTAATACAACTTACATGTACATTTCTCCCGTATTTTTCATCTTGATTAATCAATTAATCTCTGTCATTATTTAATCATGGTGGTTACACGAAGACAAAGTGGTAAAGGAGGATCAACTGAAGGATTTGGAAGTGAGATTGGAACTAGAGAGAATCATAAGATGTTGACGTATGAAAAAAGAGTTTCTAAGAAGAAGACCCCCCATTCTTCTTCTCCTGATCAGGTCATATTATTCTTGAAACCATTTTATTTTAAATTGTTTGAAATTTTTCTACTTTTGATGCTCAATTTTTACCTTGTTTGATTATAAAGTTTAATTTCAGGGATTTTTAAACTTAAGTTTGAAATATAGTACAGTCCCAATTTATTTATTATGGAGTACTAAGATTCATAATCGGGGTCATAAATTATAAATACTAGCTTTTTGTCTGTTACTTGAGGAATTGGTTTAGTGATATCAGGCTGGAATTTGAAGCAGTTGTTAGTTGAGTATGGTCTTGTTGTTAGTTGAGAATGGTCTTGTATCATATCATTAGTTTGTCATCATTTTTCGTGTCAAGTTATAAAAAAGATGCCCTTAATGTTACTTAGACTCGGCTAGAAGTGTTAAGACACGTGTATTCAAATGTAAAACATGACATTTTTATGAAATTTGTGCAATTGTGCCTGATTTTGACCAAAAAGAAGTGTCAAAGTGTGTCACTGATTATATTCGAGTGTCATATGTCCAACGGGAGTATTTGAGGTAAAATTAGTAGTCGTGGAGTAAATTGGTGACTAATGCTACCCTGATACTAGCCGTATGTGTTCAATTCATAATTTAGAAAAAGGTTTCTTAATTTGACTTGTGGTAAGTTGTTCTCTGGCTGAGTTCAAAAGAGCTGAGGAATCAGCTATAGTTTTGCCCTGCTTAGAAGATTCTTATACTGAACATGGGTTTAAATATGAGCTCAATGATTAATTGTACACTTAATGTGCATCATACGACAGTGCTCCCCAATTCAAAACTGCTGGAAAATTTTCATGTTTAGCTATGTTCAATACTTGATGTTTTTTGGAAGGGTAACAATTCAAATGAATGCTCCTTAGATGTATCAATCTCCTTGAGTTACTAATATGGGGTTTAATAACATTCCAGCCTTCAAAAGGGACGGTTTCTAATGACACCGCCATCCTGTACAAGAAGGAAACCTCACATGAAGCAAAAAAGACGGTGACAAATGCTACAGATGAAGAAGATACACATGCTGCATTTGGGTTTGGGCATGCAGGAGGGACTCCAGCTGAGAGTCGTGTAAAATTGGAAAGTGCTCAAGTAGGATCTAAGGAGCTCCAGAAGTCAATCGAGAATTACATGATTCCTCTTCATCCAGTGCACGGGAATCTACTGACAGCTTGTGTCAATGCATCACAAGGAAACATTAGCCACAGAGATGAGCAGCAGTGTACAAGCTTCAATGTTACAGAGTATGTTGAGCAGATGCACGAAGATGATCCCTTGTCTGAGGTAGACTCCGCAGGATGTGATAGTAGCCTGAGATCTGTGAGGGGCTATAAAGTAAAGCCCGAGTCTGTGGACCTCCTCACCTCAATTCTTGACAAGTATGGGGACATTGGTGATAACTGCTCTATTGGATCGCCCACTATTCGTTCATTTTACATGCAGAATATCTGTGACATTGTCGAAAAGTTGAAGAGTTCCAACTGTATCTTACTCATCACAAAATCTGAAGCTGAAAAAATGCTGGTTTTCCTTAAAGATGCTGAAAATGTATTCTTCAATGTTGGATGGCTAAAAAAGAGGCTCAATGAGATATATGAGGGAAAGCAAGCATTCACAATGCTCAAGGCACCTTCTGAACTGAAACGGTTTCATGCTGAACAAAAGGCCAAAATTCACAGTGCAAAACAAAAAACAGAAATTTACAAGAATGAGATTGCTATACATCAACAGCAGATTGATATGCATCAACAACAAATTCACGATCTGCAAGAAAAAATCAAGACTGCCAACGCTGAGGTCTCTGTGTATGAGGAGGAAGCGCTGAACTCTGGGAAGGCAATTGCTGAGTGCAAAGTGAAGCTGAGATTTGTTGTTGGATTGAAATCCTTGGATCATGGTTTGCTTTAACTAAAATATGAGTGTCTTGACAAACTCTTCTTAGAATGATGGCCTGTAAATTTGTTCTAACTATGCAGTTGTAGGTAGTCAAATAAGTGTTCCAACTTTAACACCAATGCTTGTAATAGCTAGTAATCGACAATATTAATGGATTAGCTGTGAATCTGCGACAACAATCTAGAACTTTGTAGATGTTTTCGAATTTCATTTGTACCTGCTTCTCGTTAGCATCATGGTTGTACCTGTGCTATGAAATCCCAGTAATTACAGTTTCCATCATCTGGTGCACTTGCAGCTCGGATGATTTTTAACGAACTCTCAGTTAAATAAGGTATTTTTGTTTGGTATTGACAATTTAATTACATTATTCTCCCTTTTTTTTTTTGGTTAAAAGATTATTCTCCCAAAATGCTACTTGCTACAAGTCTACGAATTCCCACAACTTATTATTAGTATCTTCATTTTGTAAAATCATAGAAAGCCAATCCGATCATCCGAAGAGCTTTCAAGCATAGACCAAGTACAAGTTACACTCCACTAATAACATAGCTAAAAATTTCTATTAGTAATGATATATTCATAATGATGCAATAAGTCAATAACTAAGTATTAGTGCACGTGAAGTGTTCCATTTATACCGAAAATCAGAGTGATATACTGATACAAGGTTTGAAATTTTGATTTGGACTCGGGGGTGCGCAAGCATCCAACAACGACAAAATACAAGCTTACAACCATAAACTTACATATTAGAACATCTCCAGTGTAAAAAATTAGAACCAACCAATCTTTTCCTCTGATTAAATACAACACAACCACTCCACTAGACCACTACTACTCCCATTCAATGTCAATGAATGCAGATTCAATACAAAATAAGGAAAACCCCTAAGAAAGACTCCAATCTCCAGACCCAGGAACACTAGCTATACAGATAGGCACAAGTCTTGAAATTCACCTGTGATTCAGGTTGCCACCACTGCTGCAGAGCATGGGCTTTCTTCAAATCTGGAGCAGCCGCCAAGTTGATTGTTAAGCAAGCTGAGGGAAGGAGATGAACTGGCTCTGCCTCTTTACCGAATGCTGTCATCAAAAGACCCCCGAGGGAATGCTGAGTGGCCATTTTTTCAATCTGCCCCACCCCAAGCTTTTCCATCTTTTCCCTGTGCTGAAAATACCCAATATATTCCGAACATATATGATCAGCAGGATGTACATATAGGTTTGGGACCCATGTTGCTAAAGAAGAAAAAGTTTCTACTGAACGATTCTTCTGCTGAGGCTGCTTCACAGCCATGGCAAACGCAAGTCCGGCAGTTATCACGCTGCCAGCAACTCGAATCCCATGTTTGACTCCCTCGTGCTTAATTTGTTCTATTGGGGCCGAAATGAATGGTGGGTTGAAGAGGAAAGTTGTGAGGAAGGTTCCCATCACGGCCATCTCCTTTCCCGCAAGGATGGCCATGGCGGCTCCTAGAGAATGGCCTGCCAACCAAACGTTGCGATGTTGAGAAGAGGCTACCGTGTCTCTTACAGCTTGGACTGCGATTCTTGAACGAGTTGCTTTGTGAAGCCCTTGGCGAAGGATATGAAGGTCCAGTTCAATGTCACGTGTTACACTGTCTCGGCTGGTTAAGGTGCCTCTAAAAGCGATCACGTAATGAGGGATTACTTCCTTTGATTTTTCCGATGAGGATGTTTTCAATTCATATTCATATATGGCTCCAAATATTGAGTGATCGACATCATCAACAAGCTGTCTGACGAGGCGGAAATTGAAGAACTCCCACCAAGGGGATGCAAGAGCATGCTTGGCATCGCGGTTTTCTTGGCGGTCTCGCTCAAGGATATAGACCCCAGCAACAAGGGATGCAGCAACAGACCTCCGGTGATGTTCATTATCCCTAAATATGGTCAAGAGCAATAAGTAGCCTTGCATTCATCATGAAACTATAAAAGAAGCTTATTTTTAAAAAGGTTTACAACAGTTGCTAGAACACATGGTCAACTAATAAGCAAACAAGAGTAACAAATTCATGGTAAACACAAAAGCTCAATGCCTCAAACATACAGATACTTTGATTTCCGACATCTTAAAGACCTCAATATTAATTAAAGAAGAATGATTCTTTGCCAATGGCACATTTTCCCAGAGGAAGAGCTAGCCACTTATCTATCAACTATAGAGTACTTGGTTGCCTTCTTAATCTATTTCTAAGGGGGCATTTACACTTTGTTTGGATTAAGAGAATTGGAGGGAAAGGAAGGGAAGAGAAAAGAAGGGATCCATCCTCTCTTGTTTGGATACCAAATGATAGAAGGGAAGGGAAAAGAAATGGAAGGATTTATTTTCCCCCCTCCTTTAATAAGCCAAATCCTTTCAATGTTGGAAAGATTTGGAGGGAAAATGTAACCTTATCTTCTCCCTCCCCTTCCTTTCTTTCCCCTTCCTTCTTCTTCCCTCCTTTCCCTTTCCCTTACACTTTCCAAACAAACTGTTAGTGAACTGTAGCACAATGCCAATAGAATATTTTACTAAAATTATCAAGGGAAAACAATAGACAGAGGAAAACAAGAGGTAGAGGGAAATACACAAAGCCAAAATAGGGGAAGGTGACAAAGTTACATATATGTTGGAAAACATACACATCTAAACTCCAGCCATAATGTAAGCAAAAATGACGGCAGACAAAAAATCTGCAGAGCTCAAAAATATGAGAGTCACACCTGCTGCTCTATACATAGAATGAAGCAGACAAGAAACCCACAATTCTAGATAACCGCATAATATTTGCAAAATCCATCAAAATAAACATGTATCAATTCTTCATAAGAGTTCCTCCCAAGGCAAGGTATAAAAAAAGATCATGCATACACAACCTTACCCCTGTATTGTATCCCAAACACAACTGCCTACAACTTACAAAAAAGAGAAGCATAGACTGATCGTAGACATTTGATCTAGTCCTTTACAAATCAAGGACAAAGAATAGTAAGTCTTTTGGCTCTGTAGCAAATGGACAGAAAAGTAAGACGCATAATTTGTCACCTATTTTTTGGTAGCATATAGATAGAAAGCATAAATAACATTTATGTAGCAATAGCATAATTTACTCAGTAATTAAGCAATTAATAGACTTGACACTCTCAATCTACCCTCATATACAGATATATAATTGTCACATGTGAAATGGCCATCAAACTGAATAGTCATGAATCTAAAGGTCTTACCAATCAACAACTGTAAGGTGCAATGGTCCTATGGAGTAGAAATTCTCCCTGTCATATACAGGTGCTACAATAGCCATGACAAGTTTATGGTCTCCTTTCTGATAACCTCTGATGTACTACCTGAATTCCTGAAGACAGGATAAGGGGGTTAGAAGTAGTCTTGCCATTACAAGTAAACAAGAGACAGTGAGCAAACAAATATAGCTATATTCAACAAGCTGCATCATGTGCACATTTTAGAACTACAAATGTTGACTATTTTTTCCCTTATATATGATCGTACTCAATAAACACACACACACACACACACACACACACACAAACACACACACAAACACACACACATCACATCACATCACATCACACGAGTACTTGATTTATAAGTACTTGATTTATCTTAGGCTCTTAGCATAGTTGAGTGCACGCTATACTATGAGTTTATGATAATTGCCACATATGCTGAAAACAGGTGCAAAATACACCATAGGTAGTTTCCTTCAAACTATACAACATTATTTTCTCGTTGAAAAATTAAATCTTCATCAATTACCACAAACATACAACCCAAGAGAAGTGAACCAATTTAGCATTTTATGTACACATTCCACAACATATAAGCGAACTGCGAACAGCGAACAGCGAACAGCACATCATCTCAACAAATCAAGTCTATGCCAATATACACATTCCACAACCTATAAGTGAACTGCGAACAGCACATCACCTCAACAAATCAAGTCTATGCCAAAAGCTGATTAAAAATTTCAATTCACAACAATGAAAATTAGCTAGAGCTATATAATACAGTACAGAAACAGCAAACAGCCGAACATCATTAAGCATAATCAAATCACATATTCAACAAGCGAAGAGCGAAAACAAATCAATGCCACATGTTTTTCACTTGGTTCATTGATTATAACTAAAACTACAATGACACAAGGGTTTTCTTACTTCTATCTGACTATATAACAATACAATAGCACCAAAGCCTCGGTATACGCTCTGCTAAACATCAACAATATGAAAGGTGCTAAGCTCCATTGTCCCAAACACCTAAGATCAAAATAGTAATATTGACATATAAACCTTTGTTTACACAAGAAATTCTTTTAGTTTCAGTGATTACACATTCACATTAGTCATGCTCCCAAAGAAAAAAACATTCTTAAAATTCATAAATAAGTTTTAAATCTAATCAAATGAAATACCAAACAAACAACCATAAGAAAATTGCCAATATAAGAGCATTGGGTTGACACTTATTAAAACCCAGATTTCTTCCCTAAAGTTCTAAACTTTAGATGCATTTCACTCTATTGGGAAAAATGAAAATGAAAAATTGCAATAAAACATAAACAATAAGTTCAAATTGATTAAAAACCAACCAAATTCAAAGAGGGGTTGCATAAAAAAGCAAGAAATTTGAAATGGGGTTCATCATATGACAACAATATTAGAAAATTAAACATTAATATAATAAAAACAGAAAAAAGGGGGAGTAATTACCTTTAAAATTGAAGAATAAAACCGACAATAGTATAAATTATTAAAAGGGGTTGATGTTTGAATGTCGTATTCGAAAAAAGGGTGGGAGGTTTAAGATGTTTCAACCAGGATTTACAAGGAGATGCCCAGAATAGATCCCAGGAATGAAAGTGATTTTTGTGTGTTTTTAACGTTACTTGATTTGATAGAAAGGTATACAAAGAAAATAACTAAACTGCGTCGTATTTGGAGTTTATTACGGAGTAATTCGTATTCAGGATAATTTTGTTGCTCCCCTTTTTTTTATGCCATGGTAGAATATTGAGTAGGATTCTAGGATCACTTAATTTTTGCCTTTTAAGAATATCTTTTATTGGATTGATTTGTTATATTAGTACTTTGCTAATTTGTATCGTGTCAATTGATCGAGAAAATAGGAGTATAAGTTTTATCTTCTTGATGAATTTGAAACATAAATTAGGTTAATTTTAGTAAAACTAATTTTGATTTAATAAAAACTAGTTGAATTAAATAAATTCATTATTTAATTAAGTTTTAACCAGTAAAATTAAGTTCGACAAACATAATATACTTTAATTGAAATAATTTTAATTCATTTAAAATAAGCGAAAGAGAACATAGCCTTGTAATTAAATTGCTCAACTTTGTACTTTTCACATGTAATGGCATTCAAACTAATTGTGCGACATTAGTTTAATTAACTTAGTTTTCACTTTGCCTAAATTTCGTCATTACTAGCTAAACTTGTATGATATTATTAGTTCTAATTTGCCATCTTAATGTATTTCACCTAAGCTTGTTATCCATGAACTTGTGAAAATAAGGTGACAATACATAGTAATTCTTATCAAATTACTACGTATATAACTTGTTAACCATAATCTTATACTTCCTACCTTAAATTTTGTAATTATATTTTAGGTAAAATTACTAAATTTTCTTTTCTTTTTCTTTTTTTTTTTGATAATATGTATTGTTGTATTAAGATTAACACCACAAAAATTAAATCAATGACAAAAGGAAATTCTAGTACATTATAGACCATGTTAATGCTTATGGCCTAATCCTCTTACCTCTTTAACAAAGATGGCTAGCTTTTAACTCACACCAACCCGTCCAATAATTAGGCAAATTGACATTTTGGAATTTGATAAAATAGCAAATTTTTTAAACAATTTGTCAATTCCACAAAACAAAATTGGGTTATTAACTAGCCTTCTTGACTAATACCGCACGTTCTTCGCATGTTTAGAACAAATATTAAGATACGATATTTACATACAACGCATTTTTCCATCAAATACTTGTCACATAGTAGAATGCACGCAATTAGCACAACATTATGTCAGAGAAACTAGAGTCAAATCATAACGTTGTATCATGGAAATAATTTGAAGATTAAAGAAGAAAATCGGCAACTACTTCATCATGAACTACATTATTACCTTATTCAGATAAAACAAATCCAATATTTGAATTATTAATTATAGTACCAAAAAAGAATCACGGTTCACTGTAACTAAAAAATAATGTTAATCAAATAATTAAATGAATTAAAAAAAGCAGCCTAAACAAGGCAAAAATAATCACTATAATTGGTATCTAAACAATAATGATCCTACAATAAACGCCCGAAAAGGCAATTGGAAAGTCGAGGGGGGTGATCGAGGGGGAAGAGGGCAAAAAATTAATAACTCATCCTTTCAAGTTGTTGCTCAAACCATCTCTTCATTCACTAGCAAGCAGCTTCAGAATAGGTTGTTGAGATATACCATAACAGCTTCAGGGTGACTTGGATAATGAACTTTCCAGCAGAGGAAACTCAAGAAATTTCCAACAAATTACAGCTTGCAGAATTCAGCCCAAAAGAGAGCACATGCAAAATAATTGATCTTCTCAATAGAATATACTTTTTTCCCTTTTAAAAATTACCTATAAAATAAATTAGATAGTTACAGACATTCTTAGCCCATTTACACTAACATAATACTATATGCTTCACAAATAGGCTTTTTATATTACTCGCATTATTTTCATGCTATATTCCTAGAGTTAGGCTGGATGAAACTGTGGTATGGTGGTGTAGCAACAGGCGGCGGCTGTACCAATGAGATTAGATTGTACATAGGTGTGTGTATATTTGTTCTCAGTGCTGGTAGAATCAATCAGTCCTTGTTATCTGGTGAGCCATAACCATAAGGATTCTTGCTAGCCCAGTTCCATTGATCACGGCACATCTCATCGATCCCAAATTTGGCCCTGCAGTTGCACAATATCATTGTCAGATTGACCGATACCAATGTTTCTAGGTTAGGGATCAAGGTAAACTATAGAACAAGTGACTTTCATAAGTTTCATTGGATCAGTCAGAGACTTACTTCCAATTTAGTTCTCGCTCTGCTTTTTCTGTTGAGGCATATACAACCTCAGCATCTCCAGGGCGTCGTCCAGCCATTTCAAGAGGAATTTTCTGAGAAGATAATAATAGTTAGTTCACCAAGGTTTCAAGGTTTGAAGCAAATGGGGATCCCCATGATATGCTTCAGATGCAAGAAAATGCATGGGAATTGGGACACAAAATGGCAGACTTTACACATGACTTAAAATTGACAAAAACGTGATCTTTACTAATCTCAAAAGAAGAAACCAGTAAAGGAGCAAATTTTCTTGCCAAAAAGAAGAGATAACTATATCCCACATAAAAATGCAACGAAATGGAAGTAAAATGACCAAAAAAAAGAGGACAGTGAAGCCAACTAGGCAACTACTAAGAATATCCCAGTCTAAGTCCAATCAAAGTTCCTGGTGAACCAAGTCTGCAAGTATACAACTCCAAGTGGAGAAGATTCTGCCCTCTAACAACTTAAATTCTGATGCAGTAATGTTAACAACAGTTCTGTAAAGGACATAACTACATATTTGTGGCCAAAAACAGTTAACACTTAACAGTACAGAAGAAGCAAATATGATTGATCCAAGAAAACAGAACAAAAGAACTTAAATAAAATGGCTCTGCATACTTGCAGGTAACCCCTTTAAAAAAATATACAGATAACCCTATGATGAGAAAATTGCTTGAAAGGTCTTTACCTTTCCCGATGCTTTCTCAAATGCTGCTACCATCTCCAAGACTGATGTCCCCTTACCAGTTCCCAAGTTGTAGACTTCACAGGCTGCAAATTAATTTCCTTGTTTGTCAGCATTTACTAGATATCAGAAATAACTTTGTACGGAGTACAAGTTTGCTGCTTTTATTTACAATACATTGAATCATCCAGGACCTTATGAGAAAAAGGAGGAGAAACTGCTAATCTATATATATGGCTTCATGCCAAAAGCTCTAATAAGAGGTTTTTGATCAAGGAGAATGCAAAAAAGATAAACTCACTGAGTAAAGAAGTTTACTTTGGGAGTTTTAGCATATACTGACCTATATTAGAATCAAATAGCTTCTGCAGTGCTGCTATGTGTCCATCAGCTAAATCAACCACGTGAATGTAATCCCGAACCTGGAAGACAACTCTTATTAGAAAACATAGATAGCAATAAATTCTAATCTAATTTCAAAGATCCTCAGATACTTTGACATGTAAGAAAGAAAATCTAGCTCCAACAACAGGAAAAAGAGAATGAAATAGATTAGTGGCTTCAGGCAATGGAACAGAATGATATTTTTAAAGGTTTCAAATAGTTGACCAAAAAAAGCTTTTAAATTAAACAAGAGGGCGCATTAACAAGACACACACAGGTTCAGAACAATTGGTTATCAAGATTCCTGGTTAACATACCCCAGTGCCATCTTTAGTATTATAATCAGTTCCATACACCGTTAAATGAGGTCTTCTGCCAACAGCAACTTGCTGCACGTAAGGCATAAGGTTGTTTGGAACTCCTCGTGGATCCTCACCAATATGCCCACTGGGGTGAGCACCAACTGGATTGAAGTATCTGAGAAGAATAATCTTCCATTCAGAATCAGAATTCTGAACATCACGGCATATTTCTTCAATGAATAGCTGAAGCAGGATAGCACAGCAGAGATAAGTTTGAGGAGTTGATCATTGAATTCAAATGAAGATACCCATTGAATTTCTGACATTTGGTACAAGCAAACAAAAATGAGAATTTTTTATAAATACTCTTAAGCACACCTTGGTTCTTCCATATGGATTTGCTGCAGACAAGGGAAACTCCTCTGTACATGGGACTTCTTTGGGCCAACCATACACAGTTGCTGATGATGAAAAGACAAGCTGAAATATATCGAAAAAGAAAATCAGCAAAAATATCTATCATGAAGTTACAATATAAATTTGTTCTGTTTGCTGGCCACAAGCAGGCATAATAAATAGCTGTAGAAAAAACCTTTGAACTCAACCTGGTGCATAAAAAGCATATTTTTCATATGGCCATATATTATGTATTCAGCCAAGCAAGAACACAAGATCAAGGATATTTTGGTTGCATATAAGATAACAAATCTACAGTAAAGGAGGAATATTATACCGTCTTGCACCCATGAGCAGACATAACTTCCAGTAGATTAACTGTACCAATGATGTTGTTATTGTAATAAAGCAAAGGTTTTTGCACACTTTCTCCAACTGCTTTCAGTCCAGCAAAGTGAATGACAGCATCAAATCTAGAACCAACAAGGGCACATAATGTAAATCAGACGATAATAAAGCAGGAGAGAAATTTGTATTATTACAATAAGAGCTAGAGAATTGACATCAATTATATAATGGCCTTACTTTGTTGAAGAAAAAACTGCTTCAAGAGCTGATTTGTCCCGGAGGTCCACCTGCAGCAAGATTTAGACTTTGAAAATAAGAACTCCGTTGCGTAAAGAGGATTATGGAAAATAATATTCTGAAGAAAAATAACAAAATAAAATTGATGACCGGCAATGTGCAAAAAAAAAAAAAAAAAATCAAAAAGGCTTCATGACTAAGTGCAATGCAAGAAATCAAAATATTGTAGATTTGCATTACTGCAGTCAACATATTTGTAGGGAGGTTCACCGTTACTTCAATTAACAGTGATCAATTATAAATCTAGCAATTAAAGAACAACAAATTCCTTAGATATATCACATGGAGTGGTGATGAAACATTAAGGCATTAAAGCTACTCTATATGATAATGGTCCTATTTCCATACCATCATTACTCGGACTCTTTATTTCACATCAATTTCCCGAGTGACATGTTTAACAACCTGACCCGTATACTCAACACTTAATTTGGACCAAAAAATGAACCTCTTTGCATTAATATGCTATAACACCGGATATAAGGTATATGAATTTATGTTTAGCACTGACATTGAGCTGAAACGACATAGATCTAGACAAATTATTTCCTATCGTTCATTTTCCCATAATCTAGCATTATAAAATTACTAATGTTGACATTTGACAAAACGTAGAACTCGAACAAAGGTGATTAAAATTGAATTAATTAGATCACACATAGCATTGGGAGAATTCCATGATCTTTTATTTTCTCTAATAGAAGCACTCGAACTTTAATATATATCTATTTATGAAAAATCATCAGCATAAAATTATTTCCTTGCAAGAATATTTGTTTCCAGAACAGAGGATTGCTTACTAATTACACATGTTTTTACATGATTATACCTTACTGAGTAACTAGTAATTTCTTGACAAGTGTACAATCAGATTAGTATTATAAAGTAATCTAATTAATAACATTTTTTAATCAATTATATACTCCAATAATCAAAGTTCAACCTCAATGAATGTTAAACATTTTTAATTGATTATACTTTGGCATTACGAGACATTTTAATAATCAAAGTTCAACCTCGACATATAGAGTTATCGCGTATTTTAAACAAGTAGTCCGTATTACTTTGTAAGAAGTATTATACTAATTATACAAGTCTATACCCTTTTCATAAAATTACTAAGGTGACAACCAAATAAAGCTAAATGCCAACAACATAAGAATCTTCTAACGCAGAGAAATTAAATTAAACAAGTCAGCGTGACATAATAAAATAAAAACCAAACTTTAATAGTAGTAAATTTATAATCACAAATAATAACAAAACGTAGCTTTTTTCCAATAATATAGTAACACCATTTTCATAACTTCCAAATGTAATGGAAGAATTTATTCCACCACCCAAAAAAATAAAGCAAATTTCATACAACCCCTAAAAGGCTAAAAGTATACAACAACCAAAGAACGTGAAAACAATGATTATATTCACAAGATACCACATGCTTCACTATTTAAAATTTTAAAATAAAAAAGTAAAAACAAACTCAAAACTCCCCCAAAATTAAATTTTAAAAAAAACCGAAAATAACCCGAAGTAACGCGTTCAAAATTCCACAATAATGAAACGAGCATTTCCTAAATAAATTAAAATTAAAAAAAAAAAAAAAAAAAAAATCAAGAATTTAAACGATCCACCGACTCATCGATAAACCCAAAATTAAATCAAAACTCAATGAAAATTCCACGAAACAATCAAATTAAAAATCAAATGAATGACCTGGTGAAAGGAGAGGTTGGAGGAGAACTGAGCGGCGAGTTCCTTGACTCGGTGAAGAGCGATTTCCGACGAGTTATCGAGATTATCAATGACGACTACCTTATAACCGCCGAGTAGAAGCTGAACAACGGTATGACTACCAATGTAACCGGCACCACCGGTGACAAGAATACTCTTGGCCATTGAAGTAACAGGTAATAGCCGGTGAATTGGGTGATTCTAGAAAAATCGAGTTGAAATGGAGGAAGAGAGAGAAAGGGGTAGAGAGGGAAAGAGGAAAGAGAGAGAAAAAAGGTGGTTGAAGGGTGTAAGGGAGAAGGAGGAGGAAGAAGAGTATATATAACAGAACATTCCCGCAAGGGCGCAGCTAATTGTGTTGGTTGGAGTTATTGTTGATTGTATTTGTTTGTTTTTGCTGATCAAAGTTTTGGGATGGGATCCCAAATCCCAATGGGTTTTGTAAATTATACGGAAATTGGGAAGACTACTAGACTTGTTGAGAGATACTTGCAGATTTATTTGGGTTTTTTTTTTTTATCGTTTTACCTTTTTTCTATTTTATTTACTTTCTTTTATCCGATTGGGTGTTTGTGTGTTTGAGTTGGCCAAAGACTTTTGACTTTTGAAGTCTGCTGTGGTAAGGCGATATGCATTGTGAATTTCCTCGTAATTTATGTAACTTTTTTTTATTCTCTAAAAATTAGAATTGATATCATTTATGGAGTATTAAAGATATATTCCCTCTATTTATGACAATTCGACGTCATTTTCTGTTGTAACTCCTTGTCAAGTTAAAATTGATTTGCTTATTGAAAATTTGAAAGTTATATGAGTATGATATATGGTATATAATTTTATTTATTTTTTGGGTTTGAAGAGTCATAAGGGCGGATAATGAAAATCGATCACCTTCACTACCCCTCACTCTCACATATGGTATATAAATTGAGACTGGAAAAAAAAAAAAGTAGGAGTATCCAAATTGATTAATAGAAAGTCATTCGGTAAAATTATATTGTTGTATAATTTGTATTGTTTTTATATAAGATTCGACAATTGCACACGAATAAAGTATGTCTTAATTCATGTTGATGCTTTATTTAGCCTTTTGAAATGTATTTGTTGCGATATTTTCATTTTGAATTTGATTTGTTGAATACTATCGTGTTTTTGAATTTTCCAATTCAATTATATGGAAAAATTGTTTGATCGTCAGATTGTGTAATGGTTAAGGGCGTGTTCGACAAAATATAGTTGTGAAGGTAACTATTAGCTTAGCTGTGTAGGTAGCTGTTAGCCGTCAACAAACTGTTAGCTATGAAGATAGATAATTTAGGCATGAGCGTTTGGTAAAGTAGCGGTTGACTAGCTGTTACAAATTAAAATTAATATATTTTTTGAAAAACTATAGTTTAAACTTTCAACAGCTACTGCTAACTTCAAAAACTAATATTTCTGACTTTTGATAAAAGCTACATCCAATACTAAAAGCTACCTCAACCACTACATTGCCAAACACTCGTATTTTTTTAAATTAGTGTTTTGACTTGGTCAAACCACTAAAAACTACTTAAAAGCTAGCGCCGAACACGCTCTAAAACAAACTTTAGTGTTTGACTTATTTAGGAAAGAAAATCATAGTAATAATAATAACAATAATAAAGTGTGTTTGTAATTGATATATAGGGTCGTTTAATTAAGTTACACATGTTGTACATAGCTGTTATTGGATACAATTGTACTATTGGTCTCTTGTAGTTAAAGATGGTGTTAGTATCTGGTTGAAACTTGAAAATTGTAGTAATTGGTATATGGTTTGTATGACACTTGTACTAGATGTCTAAAAATATACTATATTCGTTACTTTTTAGTTATAGAGAGCTAATAAAGGGGTATTATTTATCAGATATAAAATATATTTTTAGTTGCACTAGATGTATGGAGTATTTTATAATTTCAATAAAGTGTTGCGAGTGATACTTTAAGACTTTATATAATTACTCTTTTAACCAATGAGGTTAAATACTGGATTAGCTATGAGAGTGTATTTTATTCACCTATTTTTCATTTATCAGAACTTATCTTATTTTATTTGAACTTACATGAACTTATTAGACCTTATGAAAACTTATTTTAGTTGAATGTGTACTTGAGTAACCCTTATTAAGACTTATTTTTTCTAAATTGAAATTAACTAAACTTATTAAACCTAAAATAAGTGAACATAACATGTTATAGACCCTTACAATATTTGTATGTTCAAATCTCCCACCCTAACTTTAATTTGTATCATCATTGTGATTTATTCGCACAAATAAATATCATTTTTTGTTATATCATTTGCCTTAGTTGACTTGACTTTCTTTACACAAAATAAATAAATTAAAAACACAAGATTAGATACATACTTTACCAAATTTCCATACTTCAAGTTGTTTATATTGTTTACGAGGGACAAATATAGCACAAATGTATGTATTACTTGTTAGCTAGATTAAATTTTAATTATATACTTAATTATATTGTAGGAAACTAGGAATAATATACCTCATTTGATATTTAATACTTCCTCCATTCTTTTTTACTTGACCTATTTCTTTTATCACACTTGTCAATGCAAAATTATAACGATCAATAACTTTAATTCTCCATAAGTCAAAATTATATATTATGATAGTACTTATTGAGACGAATTTAAAAAGATCTCACACAATATTTTTCGTCACATATAATTCACAAAAGACGGTCAAAGAAGGGCTGGTGAATAGTGTAAAAAAAGTCAAAGCGGGTCAAGTGAAAAAGAACGGAGGAAATAATTGATATTTTATACTTATATTGTAGGAAACTAGAAATACCACCTTTGATATTAAATCATTGATTCACGTTTCACATTGTCTTTATATTTGCCAGTGTACAAATTATACGATGTATTATTATTGTTATATTAACACCATTTTGTCGATGCACCAATATCTGTATAACATATCTTTTATTGTTTAGAGAAGGTATTGGGTGCGGATTGGCGTACGGAAATTTGAGTGCGGCAGACTTAGCTGATATATTTCATTTGTTGGTTGATATGTTTCATGTGTTGCCTGATATATTTCATGTGTTGGCTGATATAGTTTTTGTGTTGACTATTATATTTCTTTTATGGCTGATACGTATTTTTTTTTTAATTTTTGATGTTCCTTTTGTTGGCTGCTATTAGACATCAATTGGCTGATATGTTTCTTTAGTTGGCTGATATCTTTATTTTGTTGGTTGATATGTATATTTTAATTATTGGCTTATATGTTTCATTTTGTTGACTGATATGTTTATTTTGTTGGCTTACCTGTTATTCTTGTTTGCTGATTTCATCCTTTTGTTGGCTGATATGCTTCAATTCATTTGTTGGCTGATAATTACCTTTTGTTGGCTGATATATTCCTCTTATTGGCTGATATGTATCTTTTGTTGGCTAATATACTCCTTTTGTTGGCTGATACGTTTTTATTAATGTCTAATGTGTCTCTAATGTTGACTGATATTAGTCATCAATTGGCTGATATGTTCATTTTAATGGCTGATATGCGTCATTTGTTGGCTAATATGATTAACAACATACAATGTACTTTCATTTCCTTCTCTTTCTCCTCTTTCCCACTCTTCCTCTCTTTCTTTCTCTTGTTTCAAATGAGAATGGGGTTCATTTCATTTCCTTCTCTTTCTTCTTTCCCCATCTTCCTCTCTTTCTTTCTCAAATCAGCCACAATCCTCGCGCCACCCCACCGATCCCACCGTCCACCGAACCCGCCACACCTACCGACCACCGAACCCACCCACCACCACCTCTACTTTAAGTTGAACCCACCGAACTCACCGCAAATCACCAACCACCGAACCCACCCACCACCACCTCTACCTTAAGCCGAACCCACCGAACCAACCATCACCTCTACCTTAAGCCAAACCCACCGCAAATCACCAACCACCAGGTCGCCGCCGTTTAAGCCTACGCAAATCGAAACCTTTGTCTTTCGATTTTTGGGGATTTATTTGTTTTAATTTGTGATTTGTTTTGATTTGGGGATTTCGTTTTTTCTTAGTATTATTTGGGGATTTTGGGGATGTAGATCTGGATTGTGGTTCAATGTGTTTAATTTTGCAGGTGGTGGAACGTTGCCGCTCCCACTACCGCTACCTTTTCCGCTGCACGAACTATTGGGTGTGAACTACCGCACCCAATAGTTTGTGTATTGTTTATTAATCTCACCATTGATTTAAACTCTTACGTTATTAATATAATTCTTTAACTTTTTTTTAAAAAAACTTTTTTTATTTTGTTTTGTTAAAATAAAAAAAATATTAATAATCTAGGCCCTATTATGTAAAAATGGGGGATTAACGTTTACATCAAAAAAAAAAGAAAAAAAATAGTAATAATTCTTCATATAGAAACGGATCAAAATAGTACAATGTTATAATGAGGAAAAAAAGTTTATAAAAAGATGATAAAAATGTTAATTTTTTTTTTTAAAAACGAAAGAACAGATCAGCCACGTGGAAGGATGATTGTCTCAAGTCTCAACTAGTAACAAATATAGGCCACCTTTGAAGTTTGAAATGAAACTGGGATGACTAATACACTAATACGACGCACCTTGCTTTCCTGGTGATGTTAAAGTGCCAAACCCGGTTCCCCTGATCACACGTATTCACCTTTCCTTTATTGACATTTTCCTTTTTCTTTTCATCTTTTCTTTCTTCTAATTTGTTGTCTTTGCTATTTGAGTGACAATTCCACAAAGGGCCATTAAACCTTTCGGTTTATTAAAGGAAAGATCCATGCTATTCCACTTACTAAATTGACTCAAACTTTCTTTACTTCATATTCTTGTTATTTACTCCAATTTTTATTTTTTTTATTTTTATTTTTTATTTTTATTTTTTTTTTACTTATTGGCTTATTGCCATATTATTGTATTTGTAAAATTTAGATATTTGAAAAATACCTAAGACGAATTTTACAAAATTCTACTTGATAGTAATGTTATTTTATTTATTTATTTATTTATTTTTTGTACAGTAAGGTTAAAATAAGATCAAATTACAGTCAAATCAAACAAATAGTTTGAATCAAATTAAATCAAATTCTGTTCATATATACGAACATATCAAATCAGGCCAAACATTAGAAAAATGAGCTTTAAAGAATAACTGATCAAGTAAATGTATGAGTAACTTAGTTTTAAGTGTCATAATTTGACCAAACACGTACGTACAACGTATCTAGTGGGCTACTCTGTTTACCTATCAACTTAAGAATTTACTCAAATGTAAGATGTTGGATATTTAATTTTGTAATTAGAGTACTCTGTATACAGTATAAGTGATCAAAATAATTGCAAATATATATAGAGATCATGCAATGTGCAAAAGTGAAGAACATTATAGAAAAAATTTTATGAATAAATATTCAGTAATATGCGTGAGTTTGTCATACTTTATAATCATGAGGATGTTTTCTTTTTTTATACTACTGGACTCTAGGAGTAGTAATTTTAGTCGCTGCTTAAGCATAACTCTGATCTCGTGAATTGTTTTTGTTCATTCGGTCTGAAAGTTTCACAGCTTCAGAAGATATAAGGATTTTTTATTTTTATTTTTATTTTTTTTTGGAAGGAAATCAGAAGATAAAGTTTTATTACGAAGTATCAAACGAAGTAATCATTTATAATTCGTATCACTCATTTATACTTCGTATTACTCTATTTTT